CCCCGATAAGGTATGAATTTTTGAAAAAAAAAAAAGAGATTTTTTCGAAAATTTCTGAAACTGGTCAATTTTCAGACACCTACGAAAGTATCTGAAGTTTGTTGGGTTCAACTGATATTTTCAGAACTTGCTAAACATAATGAGAGCTTTACTTTCGTAGTTGACAACTTTTTTTTAGATTCAATCCCCCCGGTGAGATATTATCGTTTTACGAGAAAGTGAACCTTGAGACGCAGACGGATATACAACAATTTCTCTGCGTCTCCATCGTTTGCGTGTTGTTTCGTGTCTGCCGCTTCGATATCCCTACCGTATCTAGACTGCAAAAAATAATCTCTAAGTGCCATTTTTTCAAAAATCAATAATATGAGTTTTTGAAAAAAAGAGATTTTTTCAAAAAATTCTAAAATTTGTCAATTTTCAGACACCTACAAATGTAGCTGACCTAGATATCAAATTTACGTTACCTAGAAAAAATTTGCCATCTAATTAATTCGGTATACACTGCATTTGGTTATTGTTAGAAATTCAGAAATTCAGAAATTCAGAAATTCAGAAACTTTGAAAATTCAGATATTCAGAATTTTTGAAAATACAAAAGTTCGGATAATCGGAATTTCAGAAGTATATGACCTTTAAAAATGCAGAAATTCAGAAATTCAGAAATTCAGAAATTCAGAAATTCAGAAATTCAGAAATTCAGAAATTCAGAAATTCAGAAATTCAGAAATTCAGAAATTCAGAAATTCAGAAATTCAGAAATTCAGAAATTCAGAAATTCAGAAATTCAGAAATTCAGAAATTCAGAAATTCAGAAATTCTTAATTTCAGAAGTTCAGAAACTCAGAAACTCAGAAATTTCGAAAATTTGAATAACAAGACACACTGAGCCAAGACCTCGAATCATATTCGAAAAATAGGCGGAGCACTGAATCATCTAATAGTTATAGAACACTGTGCTTGACATTTGTCCTGGACAGCAAAATTCACAGTCTCCGAAAGAGGGCTAACACTAGAATTTTTTGTGTGTGGGTGATGTTTTAGTTTAACAAAAATGGAATGAATCGAACGAACAAACGATTGATAATGGTTGAAACCAGTGTTGCAAGAATTGAGCAACGGGGAAGCTTGATAGCTTTTTTTCGTTTTTAAAGATAAGATGGACATGGGAAAAAAGATGTTTTAGAAAAATTTGGGAAGCTCTGGAGTATAAAATTTGAGTACAACACAAAAAAGATAAGCAACTCGAAATTAAGAAAAAATTTGTCATCTAATTTGTACCCTATACACTAATTTTGGTTACTGTAGCTCAATCCCCGACAAAAAAACTTTTGGTGACCTAGATATCAAATTTTCGTGGCCTGGAAAATATTTGTTATTCAATTTGTACCCTATATGCTAATTTTGGTCATTGTAGCTCAATCCCGAAAAAAAATGTTGATGACCTAGATATCGAATTTTCGTGACCTACATTCAAATTGTCTTTAGTCAGGGACCCCAATAACAAAGTTTCATGACCGTACCCCTATAACTGAGAATCTAGGTCAACAGCGGTTTTGACCTAATTTCCATTCGATTCTCGAGGCAACATTATGTGATCCCTGAAGGTTACAGCCCTCATACGTGGACAAGAAAAAAGTTACAGAATAAATAAAATAAATAAATAACCTTGCCCTTCATACGTTTTATACGTGACAGGGTCAATTTGTGAGCAAAACTTCTCAGAGAATTCATTCTCACAGTTTTCTTCTCTACCGAGCGGTCGGATCTCCTCAGCTCTCCTTCTTCTCTTCAAGGGTGAGTTTCATGCAATTGTGGGGGGAGGAAAATAGTTAACTAAGAGTTCTAGGTGGGAGTTTTAATAGTGAAATAGGTAGCGTAGATATGATACTAATTTTTAAATAAGAAATTGGGGTCAAATAAAATCTAGGTCATCAGCGAAATGAATAGAATCCCATTCCATGCTTAAACGTTAAGCTCAATTATCTCGGTTTCTAAAATCGATATCAAAAATTTGTCAACTGTTAAATTGTTAATCATAATAACACCAACATTTTATTAATTGTCAAATTTTATATATCTTTTCTAGGAACCGAGATAATTAAGTTTGAAGTATAAGTAAAAAAACAAAATTCCAACCTATTTGTGCACTTTGAGCTCAATTATCTCGGTTTCTAAAAGAGATATCAAAAATTTGTCAACTGATAAATTGTTAATCATAATAACATCAACATTTTATTAATTGTCAAATTTTATATATCTTTTTTAGGAACCGAGATAATTAAGCTTGAAATATAAGTAAAAAAACAAAATTCCAACCTATTTGTGCACTTTGAGCTCAATTATCTCGGTTTCTAAAAGAGATATCAAAAATTTGTCAACTGATAAATTGTTAATCATAATAACATCAACATTTTATTAATTGTCAAATTTTATATATCTTTTTTAGGAACCGAGATAATTAAGCTTGAAATATAAGTAAAAAAACAAAAT